GACACAGACCCAGTGTGACCACAAACTGCAGCACAGTGCCCAGTGTCTTTTGCTGGGCCACACTGAGAACATCTGGAGGAAGTGGTGGAGCTGCTTCAGGGGTCGCAGGATTTGGTGCAGTAGGATTCTGGTGAAAGGCTTCCAGGAGGCGGTTGAGGTGACGTGCCAGGCAGAGCAATAAGAGAAGACATTCCTGGACAAAGCTCCAGGTTAGGTCATCTGTATCATTGCACACCCATGCGATCTCTCTTTTGACCTCCTCCAGAAGTTGTCGGGCTTCCTCCAGCTCTTCACCCCCAGACATGTGCTCCTGAAGCTCTGACAGGTTCCTCTGGAGAGCCGACACAAGTGCTGTTTGTGTGCTATGACCATCGCTCAGCTGAGCCTCTAAAAAAGAAGGAGTGTGCATGCAATCACTATTTAAAAAATGTGCAAAACATAAACATCACACAAACCTGCAAAACTTTCTTTCTTCTGTGAAGCAGAAAATTAGATGTTGGGCAGAATGACAATCAACATTCAATTGATAAGTTATTGAAAATATATAATATATATACACTGAAAGTTAACAGTGAACCGAGTCTGCCAGAACCTATCTAAAAATCTTCCTGACATAAAAAAAAAAGTCATAAACCTTTGGAAAAACATAAGGATGAGAAATCAGCTAACAATTTTTTTTTTCTCTTAACATGCGACTGCGAGTAATGCTTCTGCCAGACGAGACTGACTGAATTTAGCCAACAACACAGAAAATTGTGCTTTGACACTTTTTACCACTATTGTAATATATTCTTTCTTACCTCGAATAGGTTTCGTTAATATACTGATAGACTTTATTAGTGCTGTGGTCATTTTCATCCACACTGCAATGTGTTGTCTACTTTGTCGCAATGCTTTAACGTGAATACGGTAGAAGCCTTTCAAAATAAAAGTCCCACAAAGTCCGACAAATTAAAAGCCATTCTCTCTCTCGCTCTCTCTCTCTATCTATCTATCTATATATATATATATATTACACTGCCAATCCTTTTTATGACAATTATCATCTACATTTTACATTTTCAGGAAATCTCTGTAATCTTCATCCACACTGCAATGTGTTGTCTACTTTGTCGCAATGCTTTAACGTGAATACGGTAGAAGCCTTTCAAAATAAAAGTCCCACAAAGTCCGACAAATTAAAAGCCATTCTCTCTCTCGCTCTCTCTATCTATCTATCTATATATCTATATATATCTATTACACTGCCAATCCTTTTTATGACAATTATCATCTACATTTTACATTTTCAGGAAATCTCTGTAATCTCAAAAGGAGGTTAGTTAGTATACTATAGCCTATACTTCTGCATAAAGGCACTAAAACAAATGCTACCATAATTTATAAACACTTTATTTTAACTAATAGGCTATATTAGTTTTTTTTTTTTTTGCAAAACAGTATTCAGAAGAATGCTACTATTTATTTACTCATTCATTGTGTGGTGAAATATCATTCAGGTGTGTTTGAAATTTACCCACAGAGGAATTTACAGATATGGACAAATGAATGAGTGAAGATCAGCATAGACTTTATTTTTGTTTTACACAACATGAACATAATACCATCTGGACAAAATGTACAGTTGAGGGGAAAAAACCATACGAATACATTTTATCGTTATCACTGAAACAAACTTAATATAACCATTCCTGTCACTGACAGAGCTGAATTTCACACCTGATTCAAACAAGGACAGGAAGGCGCAAGATCAAAAGTTCACATATTTGCATAATGTAGGCTACATAAGTTAAATAAATAGTAAATAAGTTATTATTATATAAATAAATAAAGTCTAAATAAAGTAGTGTTTTTACAGTAATACAAATACATCTTCCTTTCAAGAAAGATTATGTTGGTTTGTAAGCTTAAAAAATAAACCATGTGACACATGCAACTTTTCAGCTTATAAATATAAGCATATCAAACAATGTAAGTACCTTATCAAAAATTGCATTTTAAAACAAACACGACATGGTACATGAGACACGTCTCTACAATCTTGGTCTATATAGTAGCCTATCCTCTCTTACTGCTGAGGAACCGCACAGGTACAGGCTACAGTCACTGACACAAGTTTATACTCTAAGGAGTATTTTTTCGGGTCAGACGGGCAAGGGACCTTCTTCAGGAATAAGCGAGCCTGCTTCACAGGCACTGAGTTGTAGGTCCTATTTTCAACCCCGTTAATGATGCATCCATCACACAGACACTCTGCCTCCTCGTATTTTGAGGGGTACATCTCTGTATTTTCCACTGTTCTGAAAATACAAGGGATAAAGATACATTATTCATGTAGCAAGTCACTGAAATTGGTTAAATAGATATCACATTTACACACTTGTTTTATTTGATGATTTTGTATTATTATTTAAACACTAGGCTACTAAACATGCCTCATAATGCTTTCAACAGCTTTGATCTGAAGGCTTTTTATTAACCCCCCCCCCCAAAATAAATATGGCATACAAATAAATAGGCCTATTCATTCACATAGCCAGCTTCTGGGTTAATTGCAACATTACAAACTTTCTTTTGAAGCAAAAAAATAAAAAATAAAAAATAATAATTATAAAAGGTTTTGAAAATTAGAGAAAAAAACTAAAGTACAAGACGAACTCTTATGAGGAAACTACGCAGCGCATGATGCACTGAAAATGACGTAGGCTAATCGAATAAAAACGATAGCTAAAATATTAAACTATTTCTGAACGTACATATAAAAGTAGGCTATGTATCAAAAATATATTTTACCCCAAAATATTCAAACGTTTAAATCAAATGCTTAAAATGATAGGAAGTACGGTTCGATTACGTCATCAGCACCTTTTTGCAGGGTTCTGATTTTTGATGGTTTTGTTAAAATCATACCATAATTTAGAGAGCTATATCTACCTTATCCGCCAGGGGGACAGCGAGCGATCATTGAGCGCTGCTGATGAAGCCCGAGCGAAATCTTCACAGGAGTTCGCCTGATGATGGACGGGCCGGAGACGCTGGTGTCTGTGTACGGGCAAAGACTGAAGTAGCTTGTTGTTAATCTTGCTGAACCCATGCTCACATTCACTGAAACATCCCAGATTCTTTCCATTCACGATGCTCTCCGACAAGAAGAAGAAAAATATTCCAAAAAACAGCGGAGACTGCAAGATAAAGAACAAGCAGATAAATAAAATTAGCAAAAAACTATTTCTTTATAAAGAACATTATACATTTTTTTTATAGATTAAGATGTCCATTACTTTGTGAAATATGTATCTACTTAGCCTACAAAAAAAAAAATTCTACTTACCCTCATAATTTGTTCAAGATTTATTAGGCTATTAAAACTCCGTTGACCCCGCAGTGATGCTCAAGTTTAGTGCTCAGGTTGTGTCGGGCCTGACTCTTATACTTTTCCTGAAGTGCTAACGCGAATTTATATAGGCCTACCTGTTGTATCCATCATCAGGGAAAATCCGAGTCTATGAGGAAATAGTAATAAATATTTACTTCCGTACTTCCTCTTTCAAATGAAGCGCTACATACACAAGCGCATTATATCGCATGCTACCTGGAAAAAACTTAACTTTTTTTTAGTCTTCATTATTAATCAGTCTGTAAAACGTTTTCAGTTTTAACAGATCACAGATCTGTGATATCTGAATGGGCAAGTGGACGTTTATTCTCTCATATGACCAGTAATCCATTTTTTTCCTGATCCTGAAGTGATCAGTAAAATATTTCATTCATTAAACGCAGTACTTAATACTTCAACATTGTCTTCTTTGATAGGAAAGAAGAGATGTAAGTCCCCATAGTTAACCGCTCCATTAATATTACAGAGAAGTGTTGCAAGACAACCCCTAGATCTGTTACACACACAACACATTTACCAAACTTACCTTGCATTTCACTAAGCCCAAAACTAACAACATTATTTAACATGAAGAGGTATCACCAATATTCTGCTTCAGATGGAGAAAATTCCCCCTTTTTTGAGCATCTTGTGACCTTTTCAAATCCCTGGAAGAGTAACCAGGGATAACCTGTGGAGATAAATTATGGGAGCCCCCCTGGATGTTTTAGACATGACAAAAGAACCCTCAAGAACAGGTCATTCATTGACTAAAATGAGCAGTTGATAGCAGATTTGGCTGCCTGTGGGGTTACCATCACGGGACAAGACCAAGTGAATTTCCCAGCATCATCAGATCAGTCAATCTGAAAAACATCTCCCCAGGAGTCCCCCAAGCATCATGCATAAATTCTATGCATTCTACAGAGAATGTGAAACTGATGATTTTAACTATCAATCACACATGGTGACGATTAATTTCACTCCCATTCTGACAGAAATGGTAATAATCAGCATATACATTTTTAAAATATTTTTTAGTATTATTCATAGACTGCACATTTACATTCTAATATTTATTTAACATTCTAATATTTATTAATGAACCATTAAAATTTTTTTTATACTAAACTTATTTTTTATACAATGACCCAATAGTTTGAAGTTGTGTATTCTATTCAGCTACACTGACACAAAATCAGAAGTGCAACACTACACTACACTAATTATTGTACAAATCATGACAGCTTAATCATTTAAAATGACTTATGAAAGAATGTGGGTGCATCATAGAAGAGCATTAAAGATGATTTAACTCCTACAACTTATGACATTTAAAAGCACAACCAACGGAAGAGGAATAATGTTCCAACCCTGTCAATAAATGATCTCACTAATTTGCTGTAGGTATTGATTCTAAGCAGGATAATGGATCAACAAACAGGGTTAAGCAATAAAATAAACCCACACAAACCAGTGCACATGTTCTGGAGAAACAAAGTAGAGCATCAGACCGTCATATATGCACAGATGGAAAAGTCTTCCATTAGATGCAATCTTTCCATTAAAGAGGAATCATTTCAACAGATTTATCTTTATCAAAATAGTTTATTTAGAAGCCTTTTTTCTGTCACACAAAGCAAGACGGAATTATTCTTTATCTCCGGGTGTCCCCATTGCAGCTTCTCACACTTTCAACTAAAAATGAGGGACAAATAAAATGCAGGTTTTCACTTGAAAAGCTAGGAGAAACAATGTAGAATCTTAAAAAAGCAATACTTCACATCACTGTCATTGGTTCTCTAGAATCATACACTTTAAGTAACAGGTATTCTGTCACCTGACTTTGTAGTTGTACAATGTGAAAAACAGCTAAACACGTGATGGTGGATAGACAAATACATTGCTCAAGGTGGACTTTCCTAACTGTAAAGTTATGAAAAGGCAGTTCCAGATTCTTTGAGTAGGATCAACGTCAAATGCGCAGATGCGTCCAGGATGGTCCAATCAGATTAAGCATACGTCTAAAGTAACAGGAGTGGGGGATAAAGCAACTAGAATATGAGAGAGAAGTGATGAGAAGTGTGGCAGGATGAAGAGCAAAAATGTGCGCTGAATGTACAGTTTTTTTTTATCTTTGAGACACACTACAGCAAAGATTCCATCTTCCTGCGAAAACAAACAAGTGAACAGGGCCACTTCTCAACTTTATCACATCAATATAAAATCTAGACAACCTCTCTCTGAGGGCAAAACAAGCAGAAATGTAACGGCAGTCTCCTTTCCCTAGGACATTTACGCCCTTAGAGTTCAGAACAGCGACCATTTCCCATTTCTGGCAAACACTGGGCGTCGAGAAAACAGATGTCCCAGAAGTTAATCATTTCCCAGGGATTTTGGCCCTTTTGCGGGCTATGGCATCCTCGACAGCCTTTAACTGTTTCAGCAGCTCCTCACGACGAGAAAGGGTGCTGCTCGGCTTGCCCGATCCGGAACTAGAAGCGGAGCCAGAGCCGGATCCAGCTCCGGGAGCAGGTGGTTTACCTGCAGACACAGCAGCAGGACCTTTCCCAGAAGACTTAGTTGGTGGAGATAAAGGACGCTTCCTGGAGAGAGAAAATATAAGGAATCGAGTGAATTACAAACCTGGGATATTTTTAAATCTCTAGTCTTAGTCACACAAAGATAAAGCTTTTGTTATAAAACACCTTGATCCACCATGCACATAAAAAGGGAACTAATGCTGAACAAACATGGGAATTTATATTTACTTTTATTTTATTTTTTTATAAAAGCTAGATTAATACTCACAATCACTACTCTCAACATACAGAATATGAGAACTCTTATTTATACAAACAGACCCATATTAAAGGGCAGTTAATAGTTCTCAGGCATTCAAAACTAATCAACAAATGTAAATTAATTTACATATTTTTCCCTACATGAACTTATCAATTGACTACTGGAAATCACCACATATTTGAAGGGATATTCAGAAAGTGTGACTAAAAAGAAAGTGGCAATGGGTACCTTTCTCCTTGTGGTGGCATGGGCCGAGGACCCTGTCCTTTGGGCCGATCCATTCTGGGGGAGAGCAAGGGTCGGCTGGGCATCCTCCTGTCTCGACCTACGGAGATATCAGAGTAAAGCTTGAGGAGATCGCTGCGAGGGGCACATCTGACTGAACTTCCGGACATCCTTTGAGGAAAGCTTAACCACAACCGTTTTTCTGGAGGGGTTTTCTAATGGACAGTTAATGTGCCATGTCGTGTTGTTTACCTCTGTCAGGCGAAAGCGCTATCCTCTTGCTGAGAGGTGAAGGGGGTCGCTCTTTATTGGCAGGAAAGTACCTTTTCCTATTGCCCCTGTCGGTTTGCTGCTGGCCAAAGAGGAATAAAGAAGTCACTCAACCATCGTACACTTCTGCGCAGCTACATGACCGTAACGACACCTTCCCTATTTACCTTGTTGAGCAGGGTGAGTTTGATGTCCTTGTGAGAGCCGAATCCTCCTGGAGGACCCATAGGAGGCGGGTGCATGGGGTGACCTCTGTTTCCAGATCTAGGCATGCCCGAGCTGGTTTTGGGAGGGAGACCGGAGGGGTCCACTCGTTTTCGCTCATCTTTGAAAGGCTCATCTTTCTTTGGCGGTTTTCCTTTAAGGCACACCAAACAAAACAGCACAGTTATTTTAGTAATATTTATATACTATTCAAGTATTTAATAATATTTTGACTTACTGTTATTTTAAATTTTCAGTTCTCCTTTTATTTCAGTTTATGTGCTTCTCAATAAGTTATATATTTCCGTTTAGGTTTATTTTTTATTTCAGTTGTAGAAAAGGCAACATTTCTATATTTTGTACATTTAAGTTTTTCATGTAATATTTATATTTTATTTCACAGAGGCTTCATTTCGGTTCATGATTTTTAGTTCACAATAACACCACTTCAAAAGAGTAATGTTAAAATTCTATCAACGGCCTGTTGGAGTCTTATGCGACAGTACCTCTGTCTTTGTTGGGGCCCCTGTCCCGTGGAGGGCCCCTTTCCTTACGGGCAAGGCCTGGAGTGGCTGATCGGGAGCTGGCGGAGGACACAGGGCTGGCCAGGTCAGCGTACATGTCATCAGAGTCGGCGCTCCTGACTGAGCTACTGCTGGAGGAGGCGGATGAGACAGACGACACGCTACTGACCGACAGAGACCTGTGAAACCACACAGACAATCTGTGATACCATGACATTTGCATTTGATCTTTTAATTACGATAACAGGTAAAGATAGATTTGTTTTTTCGACTGTCTCTTTGCATTGCATACCTAGATTTGTGGGAGCCGGAACGAGACCGGGAGAGTGAGGCGGAGGAGGAACGGGATCGTGAGCGTGAGCTGGAGCCAGAATAACTGCTGCCACTTACACTGCCACTCTCCGTTTGCCTGCCGGAGAATCAAACAGGAAGAGAGACACAGAAACGTAATAAAATGTTGGTTTAAACACTGTAGATGAAACCAGTGTCACTAATTCTTTTAATGGATCAATGAGGAATTATAGGTTAGGTTCAGTCTAATGAATCCTTCATTGAATCAACTGAACAATTAATGAATCAATGAATCTGATAATGACGCTTCAAAGGTTCATTCAGACCACAAAGTATTTCTGTAGTCATTACAAATCTGCAAGTGATTAATCCAAAGCAAAGGGAAGAACACACAAAGCATCCATGTCACACTTGATGTTCTTCTGTGTAATAGCACGATGTTCCTCTTTGACAATAACTGTGGACACTACAATATAAATGTTTAACAGAAACCAGTTCTCGTAATGTAAATGTATCTACAGAGAGTAATCACTACAGTACGTCACTACAAACTTCCAAAAGACTTCTGGTTCAAATAAATGCTGTTCTTTAAAACATTCTATTCATCAAAGATCTTGATAAAAATTATCACTGTTTCCGGAAAACAATGTTTTCAACATTGATAAGAAATATTTATTGAGCACCAAATCAGCATATTAGAATGATTTCTGAGGACACTAAAGACTGGAGTAATGGCTGCTGATTTTCAGATTTGCTACCACAGGAATAAATCACATTTAAAAAAAAGAAAAGAAAAAAGTTTTTAAACTGTAATATTACACACTTTTTATAAAAAAAAATATTGGTATTCTACATTTGATCAAATAAATGCAGCCTTAGTGAATATGAGACTTTCCAAACCAAAAAAAAAAAAAGTGACAAATAAACATCACATGCCTTGACAGCTGAGTGAAGTGAAAGTACAGACAGCTGGCATTCAATCAGAGAAAATCTAAACACCTTACAGGCAAAGCACACACCCAAATTCTTGCCAACTGAAATGATCATATAGTATTCTCTTTTCAATTGATTTTTTTTTTAAATTGTTGAAGGGTTTATCCTTTGCCCTATTGTCTTATAGCGCTAATACAACATTACAGAACTAGTTTCTACATGATCCTGGCATTTCAAAATGACAGCGTGCACAAAAATATAAATCCAAACAAAGGGGCTGCAGAATATTTCAGTGACTTCTCAGTGTAGCATGTCCGTAACAGACATGAATGATGCTTCATAATGGTGATTTTCTTCCTATTTTCAACATTTTAGCGTGGTGGAGAAAAAGCGAAAGAAATCTTGTAGACATGGCTGGTTAACAACTGCCTAACAGCCACCCACAATACTCAACCGCAGGGCAAGAACCTACAAGTTTTGCATGGGCAAGCACCAGCCACACTGCCTTAAAAAAATAATAACAAAAAAAAAATAAATTTACTTACTGATATTAATATGAAATATTAAAGGTTTGTCTGTATCAGATGTGCTCCTAAATGCCAACAACATCTGGCCAAATGCCAATGACATAATGACAGTTATGACAAGTCCACAAAAGCTTCTTTGTTCTGAAGCATTAGAACAAGCGGGACAGGAGATTTTCCTGAACACCCACGCAGGGTATTCCACATCCACAGTGAAACTTCACTCTCACTGCTACAGATGACAGAAGATTGTCACATGCTGCTTCTCTGTGCTGAAAAGCGGCTTTCTAGACAGTCACTCTCACAAACACAGAACACTGGTCATTGGGTAATGGTTCATATGCAAATAGACTCAAAACACAAATGTCAAAAATACAACCACAAAAAAACAAAACAAAAACACAAGCACACTATCAAGCCACAAACAAAATCTCCAGCTCTTATGGTGATCCAATCCTTAATCCTTAAAAAATTCTGCTATTTACTACTAACCCTCATGTCATTCCAAATCCCTTCGACAATTTATACCAAGGAAAACAAAGTGATTAAATCAATAAATAAAAAAACCAAATAGGCTCTGACGCCAAGCTCCAAAATGAAAGTAATAATAAAATAAATATTATTTAAAACATGAATTAAAAACAGAAAAAGTATAGATTCATGCTCTATATTTCAAGCTTTGTGTGACAAACAGACTGAATTCAAGGAAATGGAGAACATTTTTAAGGGATAGTTCATCAAAAAAATTAAAATGTGATGTTTATCTGCTTACCCCCAGGGCATCCAAGATGTAGGTGACTTTGTTTCTTCAGTAGAACACATATGATGTTTTTAAGTCCAACCGTTGCAGTCTATCAGTCTTATAATGCATGGCAATGGAAACAAAATCTATGAGAGTAAAAAAAAACATGCACAGACAAATCCAAATTAAACCCTGTGGCTCGTGATGACACATTGATGTCCTAAGACACGAAACGATCGGTTTGTGCGAGAAACCGAACAGTATTTATATCATTTTTTACCTGTAATACACCACTATGTCCAACTGTCCTTGGGCGCGCGCAGGCATCCGGTGCGTGAGGGGTGTACGCGCTCTGGCGTAGTTTACGTTAAAGGGTGCGCTGATATCCAGCCGAAGAGCAATCAACCATAACTACAGGCGGGCAGGCTCAGAAGTTGGGAATACGTGGAAAATCACCACTCCCGAATGAGTTCACGCGAGAGAACGTAATCTTTTAGTTTTAAGTCAGTTTGAACAATCCAGATAAGCGCAAGTAAGTACCATTTTGATTAGCCGTCGTACCTACAATGACTGTGCACTGTGTAAACAATGAGTGATGTATACGCGCGAGAGATCACTTCCGGAGCTTGCGTAAACTACGTCAGAGCACGTACACACCTCACGCACCGGACACCTGCACGCGCTCAAGGAAGTTGGACATAGTGGTGTATTAGAAGTAAAAAATTATATACTGTTCGATTTCTCGCACAAACCGATCGTTTTGTGTCTTAGGACATCAATGTGTCATCACGAGACGCACGGTTTAATTTGGATTTGTCTGTGCATGTTTTTTTTACTCTCATAGATTTTGTTACCATTGCCATTCATTATAAGACTGCAACGGTTGGACAAACCGATCGTTTTGTGTCTTAGGACATCAATGTGTCATCACGAGACGCACGGTTTAATTTGGATTTGTCTGTGCATGTTTTTTTTACTCTCATAGATTTTGTTACCATTGCCATTCATTATAAGACTGCAACGGTTGGACTTAAAAATAATCATGTGTTCTACTGAAGAAACAAAGTCACCTACATCTTGGATGCCCTGGGGGTAAGCAGATAAACATCACATTTTCATTTTTGGGTGAACTATCCCTTTAAGTCATTATTCACCACTTGCCACTAGCAGAAACAGGATTGCAAATATAACCATTTTCAAACAGGCATCAAACTCTCCTGGTTGAAAAGACCACTATTACTACACTATTTTGCTGTTTGTTATTTTGGAACTTGACAATCCTAGCCATCATCACCTCATGTGGATGAGGGGAAAATCCCTTTGTATTTTACAAAATAAATAAAAGTGAAAAAGTTTCCAAGGACATGAGTAAATAAAAATTTTCATTTTTGGGTGAATGATCCATGTAAATGACCGTGAAACAACCAAACAAAAAGCGATAGTGTGCGTCAGTGGCAGAATGAAGACGCAACGTGTGCTGTACCTGCGAGGTGGGTTATTCTGTTGACGTTCTTTCTTGCGTCCTTCTCTCATGTTGGGTGGTTCTCTCGGCTCTCTGGGTCCAGGAAGTTGTCCAGCTGGACGGGGGTTGGGGGGCTTACCCGTCTCTGTGATTGGCTTGGGTGGTTTCCCTGGCTGTTCAGGCAACGAGGGGCTGGGTATCATTTTGGGGGGTCCTTTCTCCCTGCGAGGAGGGGGCAGTGCACCAGGCTTCAATGGGTGGCTGAATGAAAATATGCATTTGCACGTGCATGCAGTGAGTAAATGAGAAAAGCAGTACCAACTATAGCTAGAAATAGGCAAAACACTAAAACTTGTGCTGATATAGACTAGCATACTGCCATTCAAAAGTTTGGGGTTGGTAAGATTTTTGAATGTTTTTGTAAGAAGTCTCTGGGCTATTTTACCACCTGGTCACTTCATGCATTTTCTCTGATCAGATAGCTACCTGATTGTGAAAAGACCTTGCGTAAATGCCCTACGAAATGCTTTCGTATTTAAATACGAAATACGATCGCTCAAACCACTTCAGGAGGTGGTCTGGGACGCATTCCAGATGAAACTGCACAAGCATAAATGCACCTGGTTGTTGAAACCACATACGCAAATTTTACTTTTCCCAAAATGTTAAAATAATAAACGTGTGAGAGCGTTATAGGCTATATGACATGCTATAGTCAGATATGACAGCGATAATGCTACTGTACACGCATCGCTGCAGATGAGCAGCTGAGAATCTCTTCAGCAATCCGACACACAAACTGCCACAAATGAAACAAAGGAAGTTGCAGACGCTACACACAAAATCATCCTTCATTAAAAGTAGTGAGATTAAATTATCTTACGAATGCTAATGCCATGCTCTCTCCTATTGTGGTCGGTCTTGGATCTTGAAATTAGCTCATGATGAATAAAATGCAGTGCATATATGTAGCTTTCGTTGACGTGAACTGTTAAATTTGCATATAGTGCAGGAATTGAAGATCGGATTTCAATCCGTTTTGCAGAGACACACAAACATTTATGTGGCCAAGTGTAAATGGAACCATTTTAACAAATCAGATAGATATCTGATCACTAAAAACACATCAAGTGACCAGGTGTAAACAGGCCCTCTGATGCTCACCAAGTTTGCATTTATTTGATCAAAAATACAGTGAAAACAGTAATATTGTAAAATATTAGTAAAATTTTAAATAAGTCTTTCTATGTTTATATATGTTATTATGTCATTCATTCTTGTGATAGCAGTCACATGACCCTTCATAAATCATTCTAATATGTTGATTTGCGCCCCCCCAAAAAAAAAAAATCTTAGTGAAACATGATTCTTTGAGGAATAGAAAGTTCTTCTGTAACATAAAACAGACTTTATCATCTGGCTTCTGTGTATGCCAGTCAGCGGAAGTGAGAAAAAAAGTGTTTATTACGTTTGAAGTATTTTTAGCTTACAAAAATGCATGGATTCGCCACAGGAGGGCTTTATTCACCCCCCCGGAGCCGTGTGAGAGACTTTTTATTACGGATGTGTGCACTTTATTTCACGTCTTCTGAACTGTTCACAACCAACACCCGCTTATCCCCATTGAAAGGCTTGGAGGGGCCAGGATAATTTTTAATATAACTCCAATTGGATTCATCTGAAAGAAGAAAGTCACATACACCTAGGATGCTTTGAGGGTGAGTAAAACACAGGCTAATTAAAATTTTTGGGTGAACTAACCCTTTAATGCTTGCTTTCTGAATAAAAGTAATCAGTTCTTTAAAAAAAAAAAAACACCTTACTGACCCCAAACTTACAGTAGTGTATAAACCAAATGTGTTTTGAGAGCATGAGTGCGAGTATTTACCCTTTCAATGCACCAGGAGGCTGCTCAGCTTTGTTCTTATTAGTGTTTCTTTGTGCTGAGGGGGTCAGAGAGGGCGAGGAAGAGAAGGATTGCGATCTAGACAATGGAAAGTAAAGTTAGTAGTAACAGCAAACAGTCACAGTAAAAGCCAGTGAATTATAAATGCGGTATACTGAATGTTCTGGAAGTCATTACAGCAAATTAGTATGGCAAATCAAGATATTGTCGCGAACTTTGATAACTTGCCTAGAGCGGCTTCCGCTGAAAGAGCTGTGCTGAGAGGAGTGACTTGAGTAGGAACTCATTGAAGAAGAACGAGATCGGGAATGGGAAGAGCCAGAACCCGTAAACGATGATGATCGGGATGAAGACCTGGAAAATTGGAGAAATGTAAAAAAATAAAGCATCACTGCTTAGCTTAAAGGAATAGTTCACCCAAAAATTTTAATTCATTTATTTACTTATCCTCCTGTCGTTCCAAACCTGTATTTCTTCAGGCTTTTTATTCTTCTGGAACGCAAAAATGTTTCAACTGATTTTGTCCATGCATATAATGAAAGTCAATGGGGTCCAAAACAACATTGGACCTCAATGAAAGAGACTTTTCTCAAAATATTGTTTATTCATTTACATTTAGTCATTTAGCAGACGCTAATTTTTATCCAAAGCGACTTACAAATGAGAACAATAGCTATGTTTCCATCCAACGATTCGAATTAAACTTGTGCGCAACTGGAATATCGCATAAAACATATGCGAATAATGCAGTTTCCATCCAACGAGTCAAAGAGAACAAAATCACTTCCTGGTAAATGGTGGCACTAAATATCACTAAGAATATAGGAGAAGCCACTGAATATAATAATTTTCATATAATGACAAATTACTTGCACCTCAGAGCGAACAGACATAACGAACAGCGCGCATCTGAAGTGTCTCTGAAGGAAATAATGCATTATTTATCGGCTTTAAGATATCGGCCAAATTTTCTTATCAGGCCGATACCGATAACAGAAAAAATGAGCCGATATGGGCCGATACCGATATGGTGGCCGATATATCGTGCATCCCTACAATAAATGCTGTCATTGCATTCGGAGGTGGATGCTGCTGTTTGGGAACGCAGTCGTGTAAGACAATTATACAGAAATACTTTAACGACAGACTTTGCTCAGGCATTTCAGAATGACCATAACAACATATAGATGCTGTGAACGAGATCGGTCCGCTGCTAGTCAAGTTATCCCGTCTCATAGCGCAAAGTCACATGACCTTTTCGATGCGCATGGAGGAATTTATTCGGTAAATGTGTTTTCATCGTAGTTTATGCGCATTTTTAGAATTTATGCGCATCTCGGCATTTCCATCCAGCGTTTTTTTTTAATGCGATATTCCAAAATGCGCATAAAAATAGGTGGAGGGAAACGCAGCTAATGGAAGCAATCAAAATCGGCCGATACCGATATGGTGGCCGATATATCGTGCATCCCTACAATAAATGCTGTCATTGCATTCGGAGGTGGATGCTGCTGTTTGGGAACGCAGTCGTGTAAGACAATTATACAGAAATACTTTAACGACAGACTTTGCTCAGGCATTTCAGAATGACCATAACAACATATAGATGCTGTGAACGAGATCGGTCCGCTGCTAGTCAAGTTATCCCGTCTCATAGCGCAAAGTCACATGACCTTTTCGATGCGCATGGAGGAATTTATTCGGTAAATGTGTTTTCATCGTAGTTTATGCGCATTTTTAGAATTTATGCGCATCTCGGCATTTCCATCCAGCGTTTTTTTTTAATGCGATATTCCAAAATGCGCATAAAAATAGGTGGAGGGAAACGCAGCTAATGGAAGCAATCAAAATCAACAAAAGAGCAATGATATGCAAGTGCTATAACAAGTATCAGTTAGCTTAACGCAGTACACATTGCAAGGTTTTTTTTTTTATTATATGATAAATAAAAAGAAAACAGATAGAATAGAAAAAGAATAGCGCAAGCTAGTGTTAGAGGCCTTTTTTGCTTTTGTTAATTGTATAAATAAATAAAAAGAAAACAAATAGGCAGAATACAAAAACTTAGAGAAGCTAGTGTTAGTTTTTTTTTTAAAGAATAGAATTCCAAGTTTCTAATTTTTAATTCTAATTCTTTGTTTAACGAAACAAAGTCAAACGGGTTTGGAATGACATTGAGGGTTTTTCATGAACTATCCCTTTAACTTGCAAAAAAGCAGGCAAAGTTTCCATTATCAAATGACACCAATGTCTTAATAGTTCCATGGCAGGTATCTTACCTAGACGAATTGGAAAGGGAAACTGAAGATCCGGAGGGCCTGTGTTGTCTACGGCCACGTGGAGGGGAGCCCATGAGACCAGGTCTTCTCCGAGGGGATTTAGACCTGCGCCAGGGGTCTTTCCATTCATCTGGCCTCTTGGGCAACGAGACCATCTCCTTCTTAGGTGGTGGCTCCATTGGCCCTCTGAAAAGAAAAACAAAGGGAATTTAGAAAAAAAAAAAAAATGTATCTATAGCGTGACTTTCTTTAACGTGACAAACATCTCAATGACCTATTTCCTTTTTAAAGAGTTTTAACATTTGCAGTTCTCTTAATGAAAGCGAAATGTTTACAATTAGCAGGTAGAATTTCCACATTCTCGGTCAAAGAAGCTGTCATTGACATGGTAAAGTCAGCATAGATTTGTTGTCATTTCATCTAGACTCAACAGAAGTCTTCCTTAAACAAGAATATACCTGTTCATTTCCTGAAAAACAATAGAAAACCCCAAAAAATATGCATGCCAACTGACATTATCAAATCACCATTAGGTAACAATATTAAGTAATGTTAACAATAGAGGCCATGCGTTAGTGATTTTACAATATTTAAGTGTTCACAGGAAGGAGTTGCTATAGAGATTAAAAAAAAAAAAAAATTTCAAAATGGAATTATTTCTTGTGAAATGACTGTAAACTGTAGTGAATCAAAGTAATTTTATATGGAGGCAGCAGACTATATCCTCTTCACTGACTTTGGAAGTCATCCAACTGTTCATCAGGAAGCTAGAGCTGCCAACAAACTTCTCATAAGTAGTGTCAAATGTCTCTTTATTTGTATTTTATCACTTCTGAGGCCTGTCTTAAGCAAGCCTTTTTACCCAAAATGATGCATGACTTTCCGACAAAGCAGATCTTGCATAAACTTGAAAACCTGATTCAGTCAGCTGTTGTTCAAATAAAATGTATTATCTTTACGCTGAATTACTAAATTACAATCATTGTTGTCTTTAGCCCACTTCATTTGCGCCAAGAAATCTAGTGCTCTCAAGTCACATGTTCAGCAATTAAATAATAACATTGAATCAGTTGGCTACCATTCAAACACCACACCAGAACACACAGGTGATATGAATGAAATGGAGAAACTACCTAATGTTTCCCACACAATTCCTGTTCGACAGACAAAGTAAACTGTGGTTTTCCGGCAACTGGGTATCTAGTTTATAATCTTTGTTAATGTTTGTTTCCCTAAGAAGAGCCCTAGATTTCCCCTGTGCTTCAGTCCAAACAAGTATTGAGAACTGTTAATAATATTTCAAAATAATGCCTTAATATTCTTGGTTATTGCTGGCTCTCCAATAATCTCAAGTGGATGTTCATTTTTGTGGATATTCATGGATTTGGATGTTCATTTTATCTGGATATTCATGGCTTTAGCTGTGCTAAATCAGACTGCTAAATACAGTTCCTCACCGACTTCCAGCCCATTAAATGTAGTGAGCAGACCTTGGCGGTCATATCGCCTGACCAGCTGGCCCTCCGGTAGTCCCATATTCAAGTTTCATTTCTCTGGATATTCCTTGTTTATTTTTACCAAAAGCTGTTTGGACAAAAGTTCAAGTTTGGGAGTTTTTGAAAAAGTTGCTCATTAATCCTTGGGTTAATTAAAGACCATTACATTATGCTATTAGTTAAACTCAGGGCATTCCACATCATGCATACTAAAGTATGCCGTCTAATGAGTAACGTGATCCAGCCTAGGACCTGGAATGTCCTTTTGGGTGATGATGTCAGAGAGTAAACATACCTGAGGCAAGTATTGCAGTGTACCTAAAAATAGTACAGACAACTATAAACTATTTTTAGAAGTGGAATCTGAGCTCACCTTTAATATCCTGTTTGTACGGAAAAAAAGGAAGCAGATCGTTCCGTGAAGAGAGATTTTATGCACAGCAGTAACATGGCAAATCCTCAAATAAAAAATGTAAATTCAAGTAACAGAAAATGGGAGACAAGTGTTTTTTTTTAATGGTTCAAAGGATTTTATCAGATTAATCATACTTGAATATCCTGTTTCCCTCCTAACTGTGTGAAAATCTGATTACAAAAGTTATCTAGCAATTTGTTAAAATTACTGCATACACTATTACTCAAAAGTTTGAGGCCGGTGAGATTTTTGCACAAAGGCTAAATTTATTTGATCAAAAACACAGAAAAAAAAAAAAGTAATATTGTGAAATATTATTAAAATTTTACTCCAGCCTGTCACATGATCGTTCAGAATTTTAATATGCTGATTTGGTGCTCAAACATTTCTTATTATTATTATTATTACTATCAATGTTAAAACACTTGAGGCTTAATATTTTTCTGGAAATAATGATACATTATTACAGAATTTGATGAATAGAAAGTTCAAAGAACAGAATTTATTATAAACAAACCTTTAGTAACATTATAAATACATTTACTGTTAAATTTGGTCAATTTAATGATGAATAAGTGTTTACATTAATAATTTATTAACTCTACACAAGCTTAATGCATTTTGTCAAATGCATTATCAGGAGAAAAATAACAGCTACAAAATATTACCTGGAATGTTTTCAAATGCAAGCACGCATGTAAAGATTTACATATTTCATCAGCGCTACATAGGGCAGCATAGTATCAAACAGCTCGGGTGTTTATCTCATCAAAACCAGCATGCTGTCAACAGGAAGACACCAGACTTTTAACCTTGTTCATGTGATGGGATGCCCTTGTCGTCATTTTTAACAGTGCGAGTATGATAGATATCAATCGTGCACTGAATCAGAAAGTTCCAGGTCAACCCACAGCTAACAGAGGTTAGGAGCTGTCTCACATGACTAGCCTAAGGCCTTTCCAAGATTCACTTACGAGTTAAGACTTCAAAATGTCTCTACACTGCAAGAATATCTTTAAATATCACACACTTGCATCATATTCTGACTGATAAAAAATGATTCCTGCATCAATGAATAATGCATTCATTTATTCATATAAATCTGTAAGCTATAAAAATGAATGCAAGATTGACATTCATTCCAGAAAGTACGCAGATGCAGAGACATTTGTCATAACGAAAGGACAAATGCAACGCTTGTAATTCATGTGTCTAAAAATAATATTTAATAAATCAATCCAGAAAAGATATCTGAGTGCATTGCTTCATGCTTGCAGAAAAATTCAACCATCTGTAATCATGACATTTGATCTCTGCAGAGAATATCGTAAAACTAGTCGAGACAGTTTAAGACTTAAGTCATTGCATTGTTTTCCTTATCACGGGAACTGGCATGCTCTGAAACGGGGTGTAACTCAACTCCTGGAAGACATTCAGCTGATGATGTAACTTTCAGTCACAAATCCATGAGCAGGTTATAAAAGTGTGCTGTACTAAAATCAGACTCGGACAGGAAGAAAGGGAAAAACAGGCTGTAACAAAGCAGCCTGGAATATCACGCAGGCTTTGTGAAATCTGACCAATTAAAATAGCAATTTGCTATTTTAAAATTTTTTACAAAGAAATGTATTCCTGTGGTGGAAAAGATGAATTTTCAGCAGGCATTACTCCAGTTTTCAGTGCCACATTATCCTTCAGAAATGAATTAGCTATATTTTACAAGGAAACATTTTTGGCAAAGATAAATAGTTCTTAATAACACCAGGTACATATATTAAGAAGGTAAACAGGGACTATTTTGTAATATGAACAATGCAAGTAAACAAGAAAAGGACTTCCATCCACACATACATTTTAACAGTGAACAAACTGCATGAACACGTTCAGCTATTTCTATATGGACAAACCCTTTCTGACATGACTCTTGTTTACGAAGAACAAACCAGAATCAAAATACCGGTCATTTCATCATTTCTCTGAATGTATCACCTTTGTGACGTACAATGATGAAACCTACAATGCCAACATGAAAACTGACACTAAAGCACAATTCCAGTATTGCAAGAGCCGCCCGTCACAAACAGACAAACAATAAACAGGGTTCTACCTATAACCTGTTTTGCGGCATACTTAACTATTGTACTAAACTGTGCTATAAACAGGACCAAAAAAAAGTTTGTTTTGATTTTTCCCCTCCCAACAATTTTTATTCTTGGCTTGGCACAGTTCCAGTTCTAAGTCTAAACGTCTAAGTACACAAAACGTGACAATGAAAGTCAGCGTACAGTACACAGTGGTGAAAACCACAGAATACCTGCTAGGTCAGCAAAGACGCACAGAGCACAACATCTAACAGTTCAACTAATGTTTCAAAATGCCCTGACATTATAGTGAAGTCTGGAATATCACAGGCAGCCGAATAATACAAATTAAGGAGAAGCAGAACAAAAGATCAATACATAACGATGAAGGGGGCGACACAGGAATATACCAGACACAGACACAATGAAAAAGAGAACCAGGATCAATTCCTCTTCTGGTCTCTCCACATCTTTGGACAATCCTGATTCCATAAAAAAAACATTTCCATTAAAAAAATAAAAAATAAAAAAACCTTCAACAAATGCATACTTCAAGATAAACCTAGTCATAAATTATGACTGGCAATTTAAAGGGGTCATATGATGCTGCTAAAAAGAACATTATTTGGTGTATTTGGTGTAATGAAATGTGTTTATGCGGTTTAAAGTAAAAAAAACATTATTTTCCACATACTGTACACTCTTAAAAATAAAGGTGCTTCAAACGGTTCTTCAAGCGATGCCATAGAAGAACCATTTTTGGTTCCACAAAGAACCATTCAGTCAAAGGTTCTTTAAAGAACCATCTCTTTCTTACCTTTTTATAATCTGAAGAACCGCCTTTCGCCACAAAGAACCTTTTGTGAAACAGAAAGGTTCTTCAGATGTTAAAGGTTCTTTAGATGTTAAAGGTTCTTAATGGAACCATTTAGACAAAAAGGTTCTTCTATGGCATTGTGAAGCACCTTTATTTTTAAGAGTGTACATTATTGTTTCTCCTCTATGCCCTGCCTTTTTGAAATACGTCGATTTTTGCAAAGCTCATCGGTCTGAAAAGCGAGGTGTGCTCTGATTGGCCAGCTATCCAGTGCGTTGTGATTGGCCGAATACCTCAAGCGTGTGACGGAAATGTGACGCCCCTCACCATACTGTTGATGCCGTGACCCGGCTGGAGCGATGAAACAAAAAACA